AATTGCTGGGCCAAATGAAATTTCTATATTTAGGTTTTGAGGACTCTCCCTGCTGATTTGCATAGTGGTTAAACTAATTTGCATTCCTACCAATAGTGTGGAAGGTTTCCTTTTTGCCCCAGAGCCTCACCAGCATTTCTTACTTGATTTCTCGATGGTAGCCATTCTTATGAAGTCTGAATGTTGTTTTTATTTGCATTTCACTAAAGGCCAGGGCCATGGACATAGCTCAGTGGTCTAAGTGCTTGCCTAGGCAAGCGAAAGGACCTGGGTTCAATCCCTGGTACTACATACTGTGCTGGGTGCTACCACAGGCCTATAATCCCAGCTCTGGGGAGGCTGAAACAGGAGGATCACTGCAAGTCTGAGCTACGTAGTGAGACCCTGTAACAAACATAAAATTTTTAACAAAGCCGAGTACTTACACTAAAGGCCAGAGGGGTTTAATACTTTTCAGTGTATTTGTTAGACATCTTTACTTCTGAAGAGTGTCTGTTCATTTCAGTTGCCCATTTTTTGATTGCGTTTTTTGTTTGTTTGTTTTGTTTTTCGCTTTTTTTTTTTTTTTTTTTTTTTTTTTTTTGCAGAACAGGGATTGAACTCAGGCCCTTGCACTTACCAGGGAAGCGCTTATTTCACTGAGCCATCTCCCTGGCCCATGTCTAACTTTTGTGAGATCTTCATATATCCTAGATGTTAGTCCTCTGAGCAGTGATAGACAGATATTTTCCCCATTCTGCAGATTGTCTCTTCTCTCTGCTGGTTGTTTCCTTTGCTGTACAGAAGCCCAGGAAATAACAAAAGTTAACAAATGGGATTATATAAAACTCCTTTTCAAGAGTTTCACCTACCTTGGCTTCCAGTGCACTGTTTGTCTTAATATTTAGGTCTTTAATCCATTTAATTTGGTTTACTGCAGGATGAGAGATATGAGTCTAGAGTCAACCCTCTGCACATGGATACACAGTTTCCCAGCATCATTTGCTAAGGAGGTGGTCTTTCCTATAGCATATATTTTTGGTCCATTTGTCAAAGATCAGAGGCCTGGGGTTGTTTCTGAACCCTCTGTCCTGTTCCATTGATCCACGTATCTATATTTGTTCCTGTACATGCTATTTTTTTCACTGTAGCTTTTTAATATAATTTGAAATCCAGTTCTATAATGCTTCCCACTTTTCTCTTGTTGCCCATGATTGCTTCTGCTATTCTAGATCTCTGAATTTTACAATTATTTTCTGTAGTTCTGTGAGGAATGCTGTTAGTATTCTGACTGAATCTGTATGTCAGTGTGAATCTCTATATCAATTTTGGGAGTAGGATGTCTTGGCAATATTGGTTGTGCCTCTCCAGAAACAGGGAATATCTATTTTCTGATGCCTTCTTTGGGATCTTTTGTCAGAGTACTATAGTTTCCATGGCTATTTGGGGTTCTATATGTCTCACTTATCTCTACTTTAAATTCTTTCTCCATATTTGTAAATTTTCCTGCCATTATTTCTGTAAACATGTTTCTTATGCCATTTGAACTATCTTCTGGTTTTTTACTAATTCCAGTTAATATCAGAGTAGTCTTATTTGCATCGTCTAGCAGAGTTGGGCCCGTTTTTCATATTCTAAATTTTTTTTGAAATTTTTATTTAGTACTGGGTCTGCAGGGCCTTACCACGTAGATCGGACTTGTAGTGATCCTCCTGTTTTCAGCCTTGCAAGCACTGGGATTACAGGTGTGTGCCACTACACCCAGTCTTAATTTGGGGGCAGAGCCAACACAACATGCTGGGGATCGAACCCCAGCCTCTGCACTCTACCTAAGCAGGCACTTTAGTCCACTGAGCTATCTGGCTGGCTTTTCTCCTGTTTTTAAGTCCTCTCTGAGATACTGTCTGCTAGTTCTGAGACTCTGTCTCCACACTGGTCACTTCTGCTACCCATACTTTTCATAGAATTCATCTCCTGGATTTCTGTTTGGTACCTTGTTGTGGACTCTTAATTCTTTTCTAAACTGGTATTAACATTTGTATGATTTTGTTTAGCTCAGCTAGCTTTTTATTAGTAACTTCTGTAAGCTCAATGATCATTTTATTAAGTCCATTATCTGTTTAGTTACATCATCTACAAGTTCTCTGAGCACCTTATTGATCTGGTTTTTGTCTCCTCTTTCACTATTTGTATAATTCAGCTGCTTGGCTCTTTATTTCTTCTCCATTGATACCACATGGAGCAGCTTTGGGAGAGTTGGGAGTTTATGGAGACATTTTACTACCTTTTCTTTTCATATTTTGTTTGTGTGTGGGGTGTGTGTGTGTATGTGTGTGTGTGATGCACATGTGTACATGCATGCAGAGGCTTGCAGGTCAATTGTGGTGGAGAGACATTGTATCTAGTGTAGAGATCTTTTTAGTTCATATCTGTTTTTAGGGATGTGCTCTGGGCATAGCCAACTATGGGCTTTTCTTCTGTCCAAAGATCCAACCACCTCTGCTAATTTGGAGGGGAGGGTACGGTGTGACTGGCCCAGCACTGAGTTCTCCAGAACTGCACTGCAGTGGGAGCAACTGTGCCGCTCTGGCAATGGCAACAAAATCAGCTAGAGTGATAGAATCAGAGACAAACTGGATAGTGACCTAAGAACCAATAAAAGCTACCGCTGTACCAGCCTTAACAATAGAAAAGAGCTCTATAATTATCATGCAGATAAAAAGCAAATTTCTTCTCCAACGCTAGCCTTCCCCGCAGAACAGTAACTTTCATGGCACACACAGTGTTGATTCAACAGCTCACAGCAGCCACAGGCTCTTCTTGAAGGTGGCCTTGCCAGCCAGGTCTCTCATTTCTTTCTGGAGTTGCTGGTCCTCTCTGAGTTGGCCTTGTGTCCACAGGGACAGGCTTTGCTCCCTGGGGCCTCTGCTGAGCTTTCCAGCCTACTTCATCCTTATTTTCTGCATTATATTCTGTTTCTCCAGCTTCTCATCAATTCTAGTTTTCCTCAGCTGCCCCCCAGTTCCTGGAGATCTACTTTTTTCTCTTCACCAGGTTGTTGTTTTCCAGGTCCTAGAGAGGCTGTATTTTTTTACTGTCAGTTTCTACTCTGCCATTTTCAATCTTGTCCTTTTCAAATATTTTAAATTTGTTTGGGTGAAAAGGAGCATAGAAATTAAACAACTAGAAAATCAACTACAGGGCTGGTGAGATGGCTCAGTGGTCTAAAGCACCTACTTGGAACAAGCTTGGCAAAGCACAGGGACCGCGGTTCGATCCCCCAGCACCACATGCCAGCCAGCCGCGCCCCCCTAGTGGGCTGAGCTGGTCACACACACACACACACACACACACACACACACTAAATAAATAAACTTTAAAAAATAATAATAAAAAAGAAAATCAACTACAAAGAACTAAAGTGAATTCTGAGACATTTGACTAAAGAGGGAGCGATTTTATAAATCAGGATCTTACAGATAGATAGACAGTTGTAGTAATAAGAAATAGCTTCTAGAGACAGGAGAAACAGAAAAGTCTACCTGGGAGGTGACACATAACAAGAAGCAAAGCAGCCGCTTGGCTCTTGTGGATCTGGGCCTTGGGAAGGTTGGGGAAGTCTGCTTTTCTTTGCTTGAAATTCAGTGTTTCTGCACAAGGAAAATGAAGAAGCAAATCAAGGATCCTTCAGTGAAAAATGCACATCGGCTTCCTTCTAAATGGCAAGCAGAGGGTGAAAACACCTCAGGCTGACATTTTAAGTGACTATGCCTCGGGCTGTGTTCCTGACTCCTCTTGTCTCGGTTGTCGGTGGCTTAGGAAGGCCCGGCCAGTCATGGGCAGTACTGTTCTTCTACATAAAATGGGAAGTAACACTTTACAACTTCAAAAGTGATTTATACGGCACTTAACATGAATGCTAAACATTGAAATGACTGACAGAGTTCTTAGAAGAAAATAATTGGGCTTCTGTATGGTTAAAAGGGCAAATTCAAGTGTTCACAGTGGTAGTAGTCTATACTCCTGTAGCTTTGAACTAGAAAATATACCCCACCAATTGGAAGTTACACTGGCAACTGTGGAGTCCTGAGAGCAAGACTGTGTTTGTACCTCATGCTTTGTCAGGAACAATGTGGAAGGTCTTCTGGCCCAAGGACTGGACTGCGCAGTTTGCCTTAATGATGCTATAGAGTATCTATTGTATAGAAGGTAGGTTTTTTTTTTTTTTTTTTTTTTTTTGTGAAACTGGCGATTGAACTCAGGCCCTTGCACTTGCCAGGGCAGCGCTTATTCCACTGCGCCATCTCCCCGGCCCCTAGAAGGTAGTATTTTTATACAATTTTATTGGATGTTTTAAGAGAGACATACAGCAGCATCACTGCTGCACTCTCCGCTATGATTCTTACTGTGCTAGCAATTGCATAGTTGGTTAAATTAATGGATGGTAATGACTCAGTGTTTGAGATGATGAGGCTTGTCTCTTGTCTCTTTCTCTATGAAATTCTAATTTGTGGTGAGTGGCTCAGAACACTCACATTTGAATTATTCTGTTTATGCAAGATGTCCTTTATTAAATAAAGATGATGTTAGTAATTTTTAAATCAGTGGTTAGCGTTCGCTACTTTGTTGAAACATGTTCAGCAGCTACCCTGCTAATGGAAGAAAAAACTCTAGTCTATCCCTTATTTAAGGAATAGTTTCTGTAATAGTTTCTCCTTGAAAAGCATTGGACCTCATGTTTGCCACACTATTCCTTCTTGAGCAAATATGTAACTTTTAGCTATCCATGTATCTGAGAGCATCAGGGTCCTCCAGACTGAGGCTGATGGTAATCATTAGAGTTTGATGTATACCCATATGCAGTTCATATCAGAGACATTTAAGAAATTGTCCTTTATTCATGAAAACCTATCAAAAAATTAGCCATCTACCAGTTGGGTAAGAAGCAACCAGATACATTCTTATGAAAACACTAATTTTATTTTACACCCAAAATGACATGGGTTTTTTTTCCATTTCAGTGTAAAACCTGCTCTGAGCCCAAGCAGATAGCCAGTTCCTCTGCCATCCGTGACAACCCTAATCTCATCAAGCCCATCCCAGTGAAGCCCAGCAGCAGCCAGCAGCAGCACGCACCTCCTGGCCAGGTGCGCAGCCCCTACATCAGCTCTAGGAAGCCTTCACCACCGGCCGGGGGGGGGGGTGCTGCCCAGTGTGGTTGTGGATGTTTAGGAGAGACTCCAAAGGAAAGGGTTTTCATTACTAATGATTTACTCTTCTCAGAAGGGGGTTAAAATTTTTACTTGGAATAAATCTTGTAGACTTGACCACCTTAAAAAATAATATATTTTTAAAAACAACAGACAACTGATCAGAAGGTCAGAAGCGACAGGAACATTACTCCTTGGGTCCACGTTCTTCTAGGGCAGGCAGTTTCCCAGGGCCACTGAAAAAAAGCAAGCAACTGGGCAGCAAAATCTAACATGACGTTTTGAGCACCCCTTTGTGTGTGTGGGATGCGATGCCTGTTCTCAGTGAGCGTAGGGTAAATAGCAGTATAACACTTCCCTGTAGACCTGGAGACTTGTCATTGTATTTGTCCTCTAAAATGTAAATGTTACAGTGGCTTTTTATCACTATATACATTATATATATATATATATATATATATATTTCAGAATAGTGCAGTAATAACAAAGCTTGCTAATGTGCAGGCCCCATTATTGATTATAAATATAATGTGTCTGTGTATTTTATAGTTATTCCTAATTAAAGGGTTGTTTTTTTTCCCTAGAGGACTAGTTTAAATAAATTCTGAACATGCACATGGAGCCAAAAGGAGTAAAGACCAGCTAATGAAAGTCTTGTATTGAATTTTTCAAAAATGAAGTCCTTTCTAATTCTTTTAGCTTTTCTTTTATTGCTTTCCATGGAGTTTTTATTATATTTTAATAGAAAAGCCCGAATATACTGACTTTAGAATGGAGCTCGCGTTTTCTTAGCCCAACAGTGGAGAAGGCAGCAGAGGCGGGGAGAGTTGCACAGCGCGGAGAGAAAGGAGCTGTGTGACTGGCCGGGCCCAGATGGACTGCGCGTACCTGACGCTTTCTTTAAAGACCCCTAGTGCCTTGCGAACAGCTCGAGTTAGATTGCATGACGTCTCTTCCTGTCCAGCCCTGAGCTTCGGTGGTTCTGTGCAAAGCCTCACTGAGGACCGCGCTCGCACTCTTGTGCCTTCTCGGGGCCTCCTGCTCTCTGTGGGCCTCGGTGCACTTGTAGCAACTGTGACCTTCCAGCATATGTAATTTTACATCGTGGTGGTCCCCAGTCTGTGGAGCCCAGGTCTCCCAAGGGCCATGTGCCTATATTATCCATCAAAAGATACTAAATTATAGCAACTATCTTGGGGTTGGGAGAGGAGAATCAGTGAAAAACTCGGGCATTAAAAGGGAAGTCTTCTGTGTGGGCCCCGCGACTGAGACTGGTGTGGTGATGCGCCCTGTAAGCTTAGAGCTTCGGAGGCTGAAAATAGGAGGATCACTACGAGTCCAACCGACGGAGTGAGACCCTGAACACCCTGTAGACCCTGTACCAAATACATAAAATAAAATAATAAAAAGGAAGTCTCAGTTTTTTAAATTCTATATTTTTGACTCCTCTAATTGGTTTTTCACAAATAGAATAAATCATCAGGTAAGTTACACTTAAGAGCCCCACCAAAACAAAATTGTATGTGGACCAATTTTCAGATGTCTTTCTCTTTTTTCAGACTTTAGATCCTGAACCCCAGCATTTATCCCTGACAGCCTTGTTTGGGAAGCAGAACAAAGCTGCCAGCCAGGAATCAATGGAGCCCCCCCAAAGCCTGCCCCGGCAGCAGCGAGGGACGCGTCCAGTCCGGCAGAGCATTGTGCGCTCCCTCTCCTCGGAGGAGCCCAGAAGGGTCTCGCCCCCAGTGGAGAAGCAGCTGTGTCCAGCCATTCAAAAACTCATGGTCGGGAGTGTGGACCTGCACCCTCTGTCGGAGCTGCCTGGGCAGCAGCCCTGTGAGAATGGCAGCGCCCGGCCTGCAGGGGAAGCTGCTGCTGGGCTCCGCCAGCCGGGGTCTCCCCGTAACATCAGGACTCTGCATGCTGGACACAGTGCTTCCGTGACCCAGAACTTGTTAGAGAAGCTCCAGAGTGCCCCGGAGCCAGCAACCAAGCCTGATGCCAGCGCACCAGCGCCCACCAGTCTGGCTGCCCCTGGCGCCCACAGGGCCCTCTCTGCTGCTCCTCCTGTGGCTCCAGTTCAGAGTCTGGCCCAACCACAGCTGGTCTATTTCAGTAGCTCTCCTGTACCTCAGATGCTAGGACGTCATGCTCACTGTGAGGGGCAGTACACGATGCTGAGACAAACACTGCCTCTGGCTGGCAGTCAGACAAGCAGCCCTGGGGTGGTCTCCCCTCAGGAGCTGCTGAGAAGGCTCCAGGCAGTGCAGCAGGAGCAGCAGCTGCAGGCGGCACCCCGACCAGCCCTGGCAGCCAAGTTCCCTGCAGTGACCGAGAGCTGCAGGACAGGGAAGCCCTTGGAGTCCTGGCTCAGCAACACACCCAGCATGGAGACGCAGGTCCCTCTTCTGCAGGTAACTATCTATCAACTGGGGAGTAAGAGTGGGGCAGTAATGTGGCGTTTACAATCTGCTTCTCTGCTATTGGGGGCCCCATATCACATACATCGCTGTTTAGAACAGGGTACCCAAAGCCCCCTCTGTGCATCTTGTTGTGGATCACTTTCCCATGCTGCCTGGACGAAGACCTTCCTTTGCTTCATGTCTGGGAACCCCCCCCCCAACACACACACCCCTTTAGAGTTACTCTGTGCAGAGTTAAATCTACATAATGTTAGCAGGCCCAAAGACCAATGCAGACCTAGAAAAACCCTTAGTCTTTGACTGGAAATTTATGATGGGCTGCTCTAAAAGCGCTCTGCAATCTCAAACAGCTGACCTCCTGTTTCTTGCCGCAGTTCGTTACTGCTCATTCCTTGATGTAGCAAGTGCTTTTCAGTACCTCCTACCTGTTAGGCACTGTGCTACACCGTGGCGGAGCAAACAGATTGTTCCCCAGGGCCCACAGTCCTGCAGCTTCGTGAGGTAACCAGAGAATACCTAGGAAAGGTAGAGGCTATTTTGCTTGACCTCTGGATCATTAGTAGAATTTCATGAAGATCAGGAGCAGGGTAGATATGCTACCCACCCCATTCTTCCCAAAAAACTGTGAGGACAGTAAAAGTTTGTATGAAGTATGATCAAATATATGGTGAATGTGAATTTTTATAATTCATTATAGTAAAATACACTTTGCCATCAACCCCTCCATACCCCTCACTTTATTTTTTTATGAGCAGAATATATTTATTGAGAGAAAGAAAGCTCCTGTCCCGAGAAAGGCACAGGAGGAGGGGCCCGAGTGGGTAGTTCCCCCCCATATCCCTCACTTTAAATATGCTTATTCCATCATTCTTGCCACTTTCCAAAGCCATTTTGAAGTCCTCTTTTATGACTGTCTTTACAAGATATGATCAAAAATAGGCTGAATGCTGCTGCTGATTACCATCCAGTAGAAAATCAAGCTTTTTTTTAAAAAAAAAATAATCACTGTGTCCTCATCCACCTTCTTCACTAGACCTGGCCCTGGAACTTCTGGGTCCTCCCCCAAGTAAAAAGGACTGTGAAAGGTAAAGGTTTTGAATTGACTCCAAATGTTGCAGTAGCCACAACAGCACAACTAAAGATACAAAATAAGACTTACAGAACTGCTTCAGAAAGTGGCAAAATTACGGATATGCCCCAAACTAAGGAGAATACCAGGAGGAAATTAATAATGACATATCTTTTACTATAATACATTTTAAAAAAATTAAATATTCACAGTTTTTCATTCAGAACTTATAAGTGATCTTTCTGGGGGGATGGAGTTCGTGATCCATTAATAACTAGAAACTGTTCAAAACCACCTGCTATTGGTCATCTGCCTATGGGGGTGGCTGGAGATCTGACCTAGCCTCATTTTCCCTTGGGTTGGGGCAAATTTACTAAACATGTACTGGGTTTAAAAATTGGACAGTTCTCCCTATGTATTATGTATATTACATTGGTCTTTTTGACAGGTTTTGTCACATGGCTTATAACAGCTCCTCAGAAATTGCTTCACTTTTGTAAAAACAAAGATCTTAGGCTTGTTCTCTAAGTCTCGGTGTATGTTCAAACCTGAACCAAGGCATTTCCATTTCTTTCTTTTAAAATCCCAAGTGCAAGTGTCTTCTACTATAGAAATGGTGCCTCATTTTAGAAGTCTGAGGCACAGACAGCCTTGCCTTCATTTTAATATATGTGTCTTTTTTAAAAAATGTGTCTTTTTTTTTCTCACTTTGATGACTTAGTATCAGAAAGTTGGGATTAATAGACTGACTTTAAATTTCTGCATATATAATGTTCTTTTCAGTAGTCACAAATGTCAAGCGCCAAGTAAGGAAAAGTGTGCATTCTGCCAGCCCACGCGGTGCTCTTCCCAGGGCTGAAGCTCCTGCTCCTCGGAGTGGCAGCCCCTCTCCTGAAAATATCAGGGACAAGAGGAAAGCAGCAAACAACCTGTCCTCCCCTAGGCCAGTTTCTGCCCCAGAAGATAGCAGGGCAGGATTACCAAATTCCAGGACTTCTAGACAGCAAGCTTCTCTGCTCCCTTCTGCTAAGTCCTGTAGGCTTCTCTGAGGCTGAAAAGTAACATTCCTTTCTCCTACCTGAGCTGGTAATGGGGCAGCTGTAGGAGTCAGTCAGATGGGATCAGAATGTCACTTATATAAGGGGAGCAACCAGTGGAGAACTTGGTTTCAGGTCTGTCAACCCGGCAAGGTAGACTCCCCCCAACAGTCAGTGGCAGTACCCCAGCATGTGGCCTTGAGGTACCTGCTCCTAGCATGGCAGCTAGAAAAGCAGAAACCAGCAGGCCCAGTCAGGAGAGAAACAAAAGGGGGGACCCCAGAAGTCAGGTTCCTCCCAGTGACAAGTGAGTCGGGCAGTAGAAAGCAAGGGTTGCTGGACAGCTCCTGGCTAGGACACACTGCCACTTTGTGTGCAGTTGGTAACCCCAAGCTCAGGGAGCACAGCTAGGCCCTGGTACATGTTGCCACATATTGAGAAACCCAGAAAATAAGCCCCCTCTCCCCCCGAGGCCCAGCTTCTGTGCACGGACAGCAGTCAGCAGCGCAGTTGGCTCCCAAAGCAGTCTGTAGCCAAGAGGGGAAACATGTGGAAAGCTGAAGGGACCCAGTTGTTCTGGAAGCTTCCCCACCAAGACCGAGGCCATTGGCACCCCACCCCCGGCCCCACAGCTGTGAGGAGCGCCTCTTCCTCCTGCTCTTGGCCCCTCACTCTGCCTTTGTGTTTTTGCCACGAGCAGGTCATCTCCCCTCATCACGTCCTGGCTTCCGCGGCTCCTCCTGTGCTCATGTCCCCCCTGGTATTCACACAAGCCACCTGCGCCCCGCCAAGGGAGAGAGACAGTGGGCTCCTGCCGCAGAGCCCAGAGCCCTCCGTGGTCGCCAGCAGCCCACTTACCAGGCCGCAGCTCCAGGAAGCGCTCCTGTACCTCATCCAGGTGAGGGGGCTGCCATGTCTTCTCGCCTTCCCAGACGTTAGAGCTGCTGATGTGTTGTGAGGTAGTTGGGGAGCTGCTGCCTGCTGCTCACGCTGTGTAACCAACCATTCACCTTCCACCCAGCAACTCCAGAATTCACGAAGCTGAGAGGCCTTTAGTTAGAATAGGAACTACACCTTGGGCGCTTCAGCCCTTGGGGGATTTGTGGCTTGGAGGACTGGCCAAGGTCTTCAGGCTGTCACCCACCAAACAAGAAGGAGCCCTGCACAGCGAGCAGGCTAGCTCCGAGGGCAGCCTGGGTGCTGTGTGCCCATGCAGGGGCCACAGTGCATGGCCTGTGCACGGAGAGGGAGCAGGAAGGAAGCCCGAGCGGGCAGTGAGCACAGTAGGCAGCCTGTTGGTTTTGAAGCCATCTAATGAGGACAGGATGGAAAGCCGGACTCCTTGGCAGCTTCTGGACTATGAAATAATACTAATAACAATAAGAGCTGACATAGTTTTGTGCCAGGCACGTTTTCTTTTCTTTATTTAAGTTTTGGCAGTAGAGAGGCTTTAACCCAGGGCCTTTGCACTGAGCTGTATCCCTAACCCTCTTTAAAAATTGTTTTTCAGACAGTCTTGCTAGGTAGCAAAACTGCCCAGAATGGGCTTAAGCTTGCCATTTTCCTGTCTCAGCCACCCAGAATGCGGGGATCACAAGTGTGACCCCAGTGTCTGGTAGCCAGCCTCTGTTTAAAGCACTTTATATATACAAAACGCTGCTACTTCTAATTTACAGACAAGGGAGGAACTGCCCTGAGGTCACAGGAGCAGCAAAGAAGCGGAGCTAGGACCCCACCCAGTCTGGCTCCAGAGGGTGCCCTGCCTCTGCACTCTGCTGTCGCCCTGGGAGTGTGACAGGGCCAGCCGCTGCGTCTTGCAAGCACATTCAAGAAGTAAAGGAGGGCCGGAAAGAGGAAGACTTCCAGGCAGACAGACCTCAGGCATCTCAGTTAGCGTATTTATGTATCTTTCTGTTATATGGTCTCTAATAAAATCTGTGTGCTACTTTGCTAAGCATCAGATGACTGTTAGAATGTAGCCTAAGGACCAGCGAGATAGCTTAGCTCAGCGGACTAAGCACCTACTTAGGCAAGGGAAGGGACTGGAGTTTGATCTCCAGCACACATGCCGCACTGGCCCCACCCCCGGGTGTGCTGAGCCGGCCACTGAATCTGCGCATGGTGGCGCATGCCTGTGATCCCAGCACTGGGGAGGCTGAAAACAGGAGGATCACTAGGAGTCCAAGGGGGATAGTGAGACCCTGGACCAAATACATACATTAAAAAAAAAAAAAAAAGTGCAGCCTGGCTCTTTTGCAGTTGCCTCATCCTACTTAAAAGGATAACAGTCTTACTAAAAACATTGTGTTAAAAAGGTATACTTTTAAGAATGAAAGGGCTGGGCTTGGTGATGCACACCTGTAATCCCAGCACTTGGGAGACTGAGGCAGGAGGATCATGAGTTGAGGCCAGTCTAGGCTACATAGTGAGACCCTGTTTCCAAAAAAAAAAAAAAAAAAAAAAAAAGCATGAAAGGAATAGGACTGAAAATCAGCATCTGCATTTGAAAGTATAATAATCTGATGTAAATATGGTCAACAAAAATGATTGAATATTACTAATTTAGAAATAAATATTTAACATTGTTATATATTTATAAACAATATTTTCTACTCTTTAAAACTATTCAAGGGGGCCTGCCCCTTAGCTCAGTTCTTTAAGTGGCTGCTTCAACAAAGCAGTCAGGCTCAGGTTGCTGTGGTTCAATCCCCACAACTCAAGCCAGCCAAACCTGCCCTGAAGGCATTCAGAGCAAAAAACAAACAAAAAAAAAAAAAACAAACAACTATTCATGATGAGTCTATGAGATTTAGAAAGACCACCTGCAAACTTTACTGGAAACAGTGAAAAGAAAATTAAGACTATATTTGTGTTTAGATCTGTACCCTTGCTGGTTCATTCCATTCAGGTCACACTGTCCCAAGATTCTTGACATGGCTACTTAGAAATTTTGTCCTGTTCCCTCACTCTCTGCGGACATTTTGCTTTTTCCCATGTTCTTGCCATTCTTTTCCTGTGCACTGTAGAAGCTGTTCAGGTGGTCTGTTTTCAGTCCTGTTTCGGGACAGAATCTCATGCATCGAGACCTTGTGGCTACTTCATAGGAAAAGCGGGTAGCACCACTCTCCACGGCTTGTGAATAACGCTGACTCTGTGTATCGTGCAAGATGTGACATGGGGGCGAGTTGCTAACACTTAGAGGATTTGGGTGGGAGGGAGAACTCTCTAGTGTTACAACTCCAGAAAGCCACTGATTAGACCCACAATTACTGTACCTCTCCCCCTTTAGCCTGGCCAAAGAGCCCAGTGACAACCAGCCCACATGGCAAGGCCAAAGCCCTTCCACAGCTCGTGGGAAGGATGGTACTAACTTTGCTAAGGTACTAATTAAACATACTGCAGATAAAAATCCTAGTTACTGCCCCAAACAAAATATACACATGTGCACACTTGGGGGACCTTTAAGAACAATCAGCGTGGGTTGGGGAGATAGCTCAGTGGTCTAAGTACCTGCCTGGCAAGTGTAAGAACCTGAGTTCGAACCCCAGTACCACATGCCATACCATACCAAGATCCTGTTCCAAATAAATAAATAAATAAATAAAAGATGTAAAAATTAAGAAAAAAAAAGAACAATCAGCCATCTTCAAACCCATGCTGGAGACACTGACCTTGGGTACTTCCTCCTGTTCAGTTTCCTTTCATGCAGCAGAACCAGGTTTTCCATGCCTAAACCTTGTTGCGTGCAGCCCCGCGGCGGGGCGGGGCGGCTGTGCTGTCTCCAGCACTTGATGCTTTGCCTATCGACCGCTGAAAGCCAGCAGCTCTGTCCTGGGCTTGCCTGCAGCCACACTTGGCAGCCGTGCACTGTTAGAGCCAGCTGCTGTGAGGAGCACGAGGTGAGGTGAGCCTGTCAGCAGCAGATGCCAAGGCCTGGTCGGGGTGGGGTGAGGCCCCCGGGTCGAGCCGTGCCTGGCATGCCTGAGGCCCTGGCTTCATCCTCAGTGCCTAAATAAATAAATATTTTTTAAAAAATCACTTGCCAGTTCATCTCTAAGAATGGGATCTGCCACCTGCATTTCACTCCTTTGGGCCTCTTGGTCTTGTTTTCCAGAATGACGACAACTTCCTAAATATCATCTACGAAGCCTATTTCTTCAGCATGACACAGTCGGCCGGGAAAAAGACGACGTGAGAGCAACTCCTCTGAAAGCACGCCGCTCCGAGTCCTAGATCTCCTGCGCGAGGCCCTTTCACGTGAAGTGCTGTGGCCTAGAATGTTTCTGCCTTTTTTTAAAAAAAAGATACTGTAATAAAAAGTCAAAATTTTTTTGTACCACCAAGTGGTTTTTATTTTTCTTTTTAAGATGCACATCCTTCGGTACACCTGGAACCAAGAATTAAGTGGGCAGCAAAAGTCTTTGTGCAGGTCACACAGCAAATGCCAGCCCTAAATCACTTTTTTCTGACAGAGATGGGGCCAGCTTAAGAAGAATCCGGCTCTCCGTGGGCAGGGCTGTGCTCCAAGCTTAGTTTCTTCGTGTATTAATAGCTCTGGTTAGTCACAGCGGCTTCCTGGTGCGGTGCGGTGTGCCACAGCCCCTGCCCGCCACCAGGTGGCACTGTCACCCCACAGGTCCACCTGTGACGACTCCGCTGCCTCCGGAAGTAATCAGGGTTTTCTTTCACCAGACAAAGTAAACCTTTAATTTGTAGCAATCCACTTGGCCTGTTTTACCCAGGCTTTGAAGGGAAATTATTTCTGAAGATATTTATAGCTAGCTTCTGGAGGATAGTTTTTCTAGGAGTTAAGAAATGGCCCAGCTTTCGAGCAACGCGTCCGCATCCCTGCTCGGCTCCCTTCCGCGGGCCCCAAGGGGCGCGGGCGCCTGCCGGGGCTCGCCCGAGAGCGGCCTGCGCTTTTCGGCCCCACGGGCCAGGGGAGAGGTCCCAGGAGGCCGCAGAGCCTTTGCTTAGCCGTGGAGAGCAGGTCCGGAACGTTCGGGGGCGCAGGACGGGGTCCTGCGAGCTCCGGCGTCGGTCCCTGCGTCCCGGAGCTGGGGAGCTTCGTCTCGGAAGGAGGCAGCAGGCCCCGCCAAGCCGCTGGGCCCGGAGGGCACGCGGGAATTCGCCCTGCCGAGCTTTGGCAGTGAATAAAGCTTTGCATTCCCATAGTCCGTTTTATTCTGGGATCTAAAAGGATCTTCACTGCTCGGTTGGTCTCAGCTTATCGGTCGGAAAATGGAAGCCGGGAAGAAAATAAGTTTCCGTAGAGTTGCTGCCGCCCAGACTTGGGTTTGAGGCTTTAGGCTTTTGTTCCGCTTCACCATCAGGCAAAGAGCTTAGGAGCACACCCAGTCCTCCTAAGGAGAAAAGGCGAGCGGGGCAGGAGTCGAAGCTCCTTGGGCCCTTGCGCTGCCCCGCGCTCCGGGGAGCCTGCTGTGCTGTCCTCCCGCGGTAGCAAGGGACGCGTTCACGTGCTGCTCGGAGCTCTCCACAGCATCCAACGCACGAGAGCCAGTGCGAAGCTGCAGCAAAATGCTGGAAATTAACAGCTTCACGTATAGCTCAGAGAGAACGGGGCAGAGGGAAGACACACGTGGCTCTGTTATCCGCAAAGCAACGATAATGATGGTGCTCCGGCAACACAGCTACTGAAAGTAAAACAAAACCGATGATACGCTTAACTACTGGGCAGTCTTTGGAAACATCTATGTAAGATGTGCTGCTCAGCAGCGCGTCATGCACGAGGGCCCTGAGCTCAGCCTCGGCACCAAGAAATACGTAACATAAAACATTTAAAATCCCTTTGATTTTAATTAGATGCTTAAAGTTGATTCTCTAGCTAGGGAGAGATGAGTTATTCTTTTTTGAAAAATATTTATTTATTTATGTGGTACAGGGTCTCGCTGCTCAGACTCATAGTGATCCTCCTGTCTCAGCCTCCCCAGTGCTGGGATTACAGATGCACGCTACCACGCCTGATTTTGATGGCTGGCTCAGTGCCTGGGGCCAGCACAGCATGTGGTGCTGGGAATCAAACCCAGATCCTTGTGCTTACCAGGCAGGTGTTTAAATCTCTGAGCTATCTTCCCAGCCCCTGAGTTGCATTCTCAATATTTCTAATGTATTAGCAGAGAAGAATGGCTAATTGTACGATTATTTCTTCTTTTACTTCAGCATTGAATAAGTAATAGTGGTGACAGCATCTTGTGTAAAACAGCCCCTGTGTAGATGTGACAGAGGAAAGAGCCCATGCCTGACATGGTCAGATGACACGCGGGCATCATTAGGACCAGTTTAGGTCAACGCCACAGTGATGTGTTTTGAAAAGTGGTATGTTCTTGGTCCTTCACTGCAGTGAATCAGTTTAAGAGTGGCAGGCCTAGTTCATTTAAACCAAAGACAGCCTTTCAAGGGGCAGGTGGGGACAGAGTACTTATTTTTTCTCTCCAGCAAAGCAGATGAGCGCTGCCTTGTTCAAAAGGCTTTCTCTAGAGAGTTCAAGAAATAGATCAAAAGGGTTATCTAAGGCACCCAAAGTTAGACTTCATATCTAAATTAACTCCTCTCCTTCCCACTCTCTTCCTGAATTCGGAGACCGTCACAGATGCCGCTTCTAGGTGTCTCTGGCTCCCAGACAGCGGTTTCAACCTAAGCGGATATCAGGTGGAATTTCAAGGTGAGACCCTTGTGGGTAAAACAGCTTTGAATGTCTGCCTGGGCGGAGCTACACAGCCCGCGCTGCCCGGTGTAGGGCACAGTGCACGGCCTCGGAGTCAGCTGGGTCTGCCTTTGGCTCCTGGCCAGGGGCCTTCAGAGACCCTGATTCTCATTTATACAACAAAACGCCCTCCCGCAATCTGTGAGCACTACGTGGGCACCACATGCCGGTCCAGGCCTTCATGCGTGCATCCAGAGCTGTCGTGCCTCTGGCCCGCAGCATTTGCTGGTCCCAGGACTCCAGCACTGACAGACTTGCAGCTGCCAGAGGGACTCCGTCCACTCTCAGCACTACTACATCATGTCAGGTCTGACACTGGCCAGTACCTCTGTGTGGCCATTTCTCTGTACTATCTTCTCCCTTTCTGTTCTCAAAAATAAAAAAAGAATAGTAACACATCTATTCCTTACAAAGGAGCGCCACCAGCTCTTAAACAATTTTCTTATTTGTTTGATACAGGGTCTTGTTACACAGCTCAGACTCATAGTGATCCTCCTACCTCAGCCTCCCCAGTGCTGGGATTACAGGTGTGTGCTACCATGCCGGGTTCTGAGGCCAGCACTGCATGTGGTACAGGGGTTCGAACGTGGGTCCTTATGCTTGCCGGGCAGGCACTTAGACCACCGAGCCATCTCCCCAGCTCCATCAGCTCCTTAAGGCAAGGGTATCAGCATAAACTAAAACACAATTGTTACTGCTCCTGCATTCCTATGTGAGCCAGGGTTCTATCACTGTGACAAAATGCCAGAGATAAGCCAGCCTCAAGAAGGAAAGGCTTATTTTGGACTCAGTTTCAGAGACCCTTTTGCCTTGGGACTGGGGTGTCATGGTGCATTACGCCAGGAAGTCTGCAGTAGCACAAAGCTGCTCATCTCATTGCAGTGGGCAGCAGAGAGACAGAAGTGGTCAGGTCCCACGCTCCCTTCAGGACACATCCCCGGTGACCTGACTGCCACTGGTCTCATTGCCTAAAGGCTGCCTCTCGGTATCACAGGCGAGGGCCATGCCTTCCCCATGTGGGCCTCTGGGGGGCTGCAAAGGTCTGGAGAGTAGTAACATGACCCATTTTCCTGGCAAAGGCAGAGAAAGCAGTGCTGTGCTGCAGGCTTTGTGGTGTCCCCGAGGCTGCTTCTGCAGATGCACACTGCTCAGCCGCCCCCTTAGAAGGCCTGGCATAGAGCCATTGCAGGGTGAGAGAAACCCGAGTTAGCATCTTCCAAAACTGCTGGGTGTGCCTGCAGAGCTCTACTGATATTTAGCCACCTGAACTGGCCTCTTCCAGCCCATTCAAAACAAAAAGGGAAAACACTCTCACACTGATGTCCTAGAGAGACACAGATAGGCATCTGGTAAATTCCTGCAAACTTTGAATCCCATGATGGACAAGATTCTCCTCGCTTTCTCTTAAATAAGAAGGGTGCAAATGAGAGAAGAAAGTGTCTTTCCTCTTAAAGAAATGCTAACTTTTGAGTGTTGAAACCCTCTTCCGCCCCCCCGGGTGTTAAAGCCAACAGTTCCCACTCACGAGGGCATCTTCTCTGGGGTGTGTGATGCCAAGGATCGGAGGTGTCATGTCAAAAGCTCATCACCGGGCTCCACTTGGGTCCAACCATCTGCCAGTGCAGAGGCAGGGAAAGCAAGTAGCTGCGAAGTAAACTGCAAAGACAGCTCTTCATCTGCCGGGATGGGGCGAGCGGGGCTGGAGGTGGAGGGTGAAGATGGGATGAGGAGCCAGGCACGGGAAAATAGGCTGGCAACAAAGAAGACTCGCTCAGACAGTGCCTCCTGCGTCCAGCCAGCGCCTCTTTCCCTCTTTTCAAAGACATCAGCTTCTTCCCAGCTCTGTACTTGGAGCCATCTTTAAGGTTAAATTTATCATCTGCAGCCCGCAGGTTGCAACGACGCTCCACTGTGTCACCTCGGCTGGCTGCGCAGGCTGATGAGCCTCCCTGGTGTTTTGCTGAATGCTTGATTTTCAGATTCCAAACGTTCTGCTCCCCACTCTTTACAATTAGGGGAGTGAGAGGGGTGAATAAAAATCCTCAGTATATTTAACTCAACCTTGGATATCTAGATAGATTTTCACCAAATCGAGTTATAATTAATGTCTTCCAACAGCTTAGAGCATTGAGAGAAGTACACAAACAAAAACTGTGTGCAGACTGTGGTCTTAAAGCCTGAGAAAAAAAAAAACAGATCCCTGGAGGGAGCTCCTGATCTCCAGGGGCCGGGTGGCACAGGCAGCACCGTGACACTGAGCCAGCTCTGGGCACAGCTTGGGCCAAAACCCTGGAGCAGCTGAAGAGGGGAAGTGTATGAAATCCAAAGCCTGGCAAGTTAACTGAGGGCA